AACGGCGTTTCTTCTAACTAGTAGTAATCTTAAACTTATTATTTTTCAGCTATCACTGTCACCCGGTATAATTTTTTTTTTAAGTTTTAGAGAAAACACACCTTCTCATTAGCTAAATAGTTGTAACAATGCTAAAAATCGGTACTTTTATCATTATTTCTATCTCCTATCCGTTTCAAATAAATTTCTAAATCTAAGCACTCCGTTCCATTATTGAAGTCACAAATCATAATCTCATAAATACAAAATAAACTTGTTAACGAATATCAATTTTTTAATGCTGCCCCCATCTTCTCCAACAAGTTTCTGTTTTAAGTTATCGATAAATAAATTTTCTCAGTTGCTTTAGGAAATAGCGCAAAACTCTTAGGTGCGCAACACATACGAGCATTAAATTACATATCCGCAGATTGAGTTGCCCCAAGCATTATAATCAATACAATGTTGATGCTAAAGAGCTAACGAAGTGTTGCTGTGACCAAGCATTTACATACTGTATGTGTACGTTAGCGAACAGAGAAAAGTACACCATTTAATAGAAAAAAACATAGATCACGTTAGCCTTCGCTCGTAATTTTCTATATATTATGGAGAGAAACCAATATTGACAAATATATAAATTATAAATTTAAACTAATGCCTTACAACCAAAGAAATTGGAAACTTCTTTAAAGAAAACTCTTATATCGAGTTATAATGGGTAGATGGAATTAGGCCGAATGCTCGTCTGGGTTATGCAGAGTATGGTGTACGGGATCTTCTAATGGACATTTTGGGATACTTCAGAGTTACCATCGCTTAATTAGAGGATTTAGATAAGTGTATATTTCCACAGGTATATCAACACTGAAACATTTCATGAAAAAGTTTCAGAAAAATTTGGTATAAACAAAAGTTCATATCGAATATGTTTAAATGTCTGTCACAAATTTGAAGAAGACAATCAAAGCCAGTAAAGCTTGTTGAGAACTATACGGTCTTATAGCTGTCATGGACAAAACAAATTTAAATTATCTTTACAATTTATAAGTTAAAAATATTAAATTTGAACAATTGGTGGTGTTAAAGCTATATTATATTACAAAGTTCTTACAATAGTTACGAATGTATGGCCTCATTTATACAATAAAAAATCTAGAACAAATTGTGGGCTCGACAAAAAGATATAGTTTTAGTTCAATTTCTCTGAAATCTAGGAGCTACTTAGCGCTTAGAAGATTACCCTGATTAGTTCATATTTTCTCACCCCGTAAATTCCAAAAATCTTAATTGCAAACGTTATTCTGTTCGCTACTGTCATTTCATTAAATCGTGACCGCACTCCCTCAATTGAAGTCAAGTTATGAGCAATTCCAGTAAACACGGTGATTTGTATTCTTTAAATCGGAAATAAACGATCCATTACATTTTTATAACAGCTGCATAAAATATACACATATGACAAGCTGCGCTCTCGTGCAGAGCGTTAAGCCGCTCATCATATCATATGATCACTTTTATGCCCACAAATGTATAGTACACAATTAAGGAGAGTTGAGGAGAGTGTTTGTAAACAAATTTGTTCAAAGAGTTAAAAACTTGTTAAGCGACACTCGAGCGCAGGCGAAGATAATAAAAGCTCTTAATTATTGCTAGCATTTGAAAAGTCATAAAAGCGTTTTCTTATCGCTGATCGGACAGCTCAGCTGCTTCGTGCATGGTATTGTCGGGTGACAACCATATGATTGTGCGCCACTATACCGAACACAATTACTCACTCTCTTGTGTTGCTTACTCACAGTTACAACGAAATACAGATTAGTTTCGCTTTGCTCACTTTCTCCATGCGGAAGAGGTGTCATGGAGGTTCCCAACTACTAGTACTCTTCTATTAGTAGTCTAAGTTGTGTAGTAGCCGCGCTCTTAGCGGTTTGTCGCAACAAGTTCTAAAAGTATACAACAATAGCAAAAGCAAAAAACGCAACAACTATCAATGCGGAAATGTTCCAACTCAACGAAAGATTTCTGAATTTCACTACTAAGAGATGCCTCCATACACGACGCTCTGCTCTGCTACATTCTGCCTTGCAACTCTGTTCATCTGCTCTGTGAAAATGTTGTTGTAACAATGACATGCTGTGTAGTCAACTGACTGCAAGTGTTTGTAAGCTCGTGTGTGAAACGGGCTAAGCCACATTGGGCTAGGCTCTAGGCCCAAACACTCTGCTTCAGCTGAGTTGTGTTGAGCTGAGCGGAACTGAGCTGTGATCGTCGCGAGGCGGTGGTTGTGCAGCCACAGACAATCTGGGTCACATTTTGCCATTGAACCGGTGACGTCACGGCGGGGCAATGACCGCCAAGCTCAGGGAAGCAGCTGCCGCAGCAACAGCAGCAGCGCAAACTTTACTAGCTGAGGAGCAATAGCAACAACAACAACTAGTGTTGGCTGTTTGCACGACCACAAAGCATACACAGACAGAATTACAGGCGGACATATTTTTGTTGGTAATACATATGTACCTCTCGAGATAGCTAGCCCCAACATATGCAACAAATACAACAACACTCGTTGGGTTTGTTGTAACTTAACGCTGTATACACCACCTTGAATGCGATCATACTACAACAACATTGTGCTACAACAACCTACTCAAATGGGCTGGCGGCATGGCATCCACGGTTGGGCATTCGTCGAGGAGTCGTAGGTATTCGCCAGCCGAGTACTTCATTTCACTTCAGGTTTTGGGTGTTGCTGGCAGTTTTGTTGGTGATATCTTCTGCTGCTGCTGCTGCTGTTAGCTTTTGCACTCCTCTTTTTCGCCTTTTGTTTTTGTTGTTTGTAATTATTTGTGTTTATTTTATTTGTTGGATGGAATGTTTGTTGTACACCAACTATGCGCGCTTGTAACTTTTGTAATTGTGTGTTAGCGCTGCAATTTTGTGGCAATTGTTGTTGTTTTTATTGTAGTTGTTTTAGCTGCATACAGTTGATATCTTTCGCTTCTGTCAATATTATTAGTGTTGTTCATTTGTAAGTATGGTATGTAGGTATGAGTGTTTGAGCGGTGGCCGGAGGTGAACTCGCTGTTGGGGGCAATTCTCGGTATTGATTTTGTTGTTGGGCGCGCTTGAACTTCTTGCGATTATTGATTGTTTTGTTCTTTCGTTGTAATGCTAAATTTAAATTCAAATTGTCAGCATGTTGAGGTCTATAATAATCACGGAGTGTGATGGGATTGACTGGTACTTGTTTTAATATCGTTTATAAACCTTAAAATTAAAATAAATTTAACACATTTCTTTTGCCATCATAAGCATGGAAAAATTAGAAAAAACGTTAACTTCAGCTGAATCTTATCTTGATTTTGATAGGTCAGCTTATATGGCAGCTATATACTTTATAAGCATGGAACATAGAGAGATATTCTAATCCTATATACTATATACCTAAGTTCCGATCAAAATGATAAAGCTAGACGGCTAATGAATTATCTTATGTGAAAATCTTGCTTCTTTAATCTAAAAAAAAATACATATTTAGATTCCAATTGAAAAACTTGGTTAGCTTGGTTCCGGATTTTATAATATTTACAGCAAAGTATTCAAAAATATTGTAATAAGGTACCAAACAAAAACACAGCTGGACTAGCCGCGAACTCTTTACCCATAGATGTTCAAATAGTCAACAAATAAAAGCAATTATAAAAAACTTTTATTTTAAAAGGTTTTAAACTCTCTTCGAACTTTTTTGACAAGAGAAAAATGACATCTTTTAGTAAGTGGCCATAATACTATCAAGAACTCCGAATATACAATAATCCATAAACGAAGACAACAAAGTGACGACGGATGTAGCGCTGACTTTCAAGAGTTAGCAACGCTTTGATAACAACTGAGATCCGGTAATACTAGAAACTTATAATAAGTGGGAGTTTGGTTCAAAAAATGAAAATTAAACTCAACACATTTTTCAATAATAAGCAGAATTTTTTCTTACTGCAGATTATAGAAATATGCTGGCTTTAGATCAGGAAACTGTTTTACCAAGTTTGTAAAAAAAGTAACTGTCCTTAGCAGGGTACAACCTATACGCAACCAATGTTTTATATATGCATATTAATAACTTTGATGTGTCTATGGCTTATATTAAATGCTTTTATAATAAATTATCCAATCAAATACAATTATTATTTGCAAATAAAGGCGAAAACGTTATTTCTGGTATAAGAATCCAAGGGATTGTACTTTTTTAATACGCTTTTATTAATAATAATAATTTGATAACAGTTTCCCATTATTTTAAAGGTCGGTGTAACCACGCCCACTAAATTGTTTGTTTGTGAAAATGGGCCCAACCCCCAAATAACAGTTATTTTAAAATATACTAAAAGTGCGATAAGTGACGAAATAAATGCGCCATAAGCATTAATTTTCATAAACAAAATGGTAGGGAAGAGATTTATAGGAGGTGGTGTAACAATTCCTTTAAAGCGTGTTTTTTTAAACTATCATTTATTTTAGTTTTAAAAAATTTTAATTTTGAAAACCTTTTATACAAAAATTTCTCGAAGAAAAAAATGGGGTTTTCATTTGCCGTTTACTCTAAATTTTAATAATAATAATTTTTTTTTTAATTTTGAACACATTTATGTGTAGAAATAATTTTTTATTTTCATATATGAATTGTTTTGACTTTTCAGTTAGATAAAACTAGACACATTGTGCTTAATTTTATTAAAATCGGCTTAGTAATTTAGGAGTTTGCCCCGGTGAAAACGTGACACGCAATTTTTATAGTATGTACAGTTACAAACAATAAAATATAATCAAGTGGATGGTTCCAAAATAATTAACAATCTTTATTACTTGGCCGATAGATTTCCGATACGTTTTTCCTGTAATCGATTCCTACAATATTTTTCTTTTTAAATACACTTTTAAATCACTCTCTTACATTTTACTATTATCTTTGTGCTCAAATTTAGCAACAATGTGCTTGTGTTCTCGTGACAAAAAAATATAATCAAGGAATAAAAATGTCAATTATAGGCGTTATGTAGTAAAAATTATATGGTAAGTATAATCTTTTATTTTTACATTTTATTACAATTAATTACAAGTATTATTTGTAGATGAAACGGGCCGAGGAAAGCATTGCCCATCAGCAGAGCGTAAGCTCATAAAAAATTGGCAAAATAACGGTTATACCTAAAGGGAAATTGCAAAAAGTATATGAGATACCAAAAATTTGTGTTTACTGCTTTGAAACCGCCAAAAGAATGTGGATTGTGGGGACGTTCACGAAAAACGATGTCTTAGGATTACAATTACTTAGAGATTTTATCAAGACGCGAGCCTTTCAAGTCCTCTGTAGGAAGGATTTTCTTCGGAAGGTTGGTCCAGAAAGTCCCAATGTTGACAAAAAGACAGCATCAGATAGATTTTGCTTCAGCACATATCAATGGGACCGTTGAAAGAAGTGTAAAAAAGTGGCGTAATATTCTTTTGTCCGACGAATCCAAAATAAATATGGTAGAAAACGATGGAAAAGTTTGAGTTCGACGTCCGAATAATGCTAAAATAAATCCTTGATACACGATAAAAACTTTCAAATACGGAGATCATGATATGGGGATGTTTCTGATGGTACGAAGTCGGACCGCTGTTTTGGATTCGGGTAATCAGAGACCGTTATTACGTTATTACCTTTTAGAAGATGTAATGCTTAATCATGCTGAATGGAACATGCCTTTAGTTCGGCAGTTTCAGCATGACAATGAACCGAAGCATACCTCGGGTGTGGACTAGACTTGGCTACAGGATCAATGTACCTACATACATAGTGTTCAATATTAGAAATAATTGAAAAAAATTACATTTACAGAATTGAATGCACTTTGATGATCCGCGATTCACTTTGAGTTTCCCTTGATGTCGTAATTGATCGCCATGAAAACTTTCGAATGAAGGTGTCTGGAAAGTCACGGATTCTGAAAGCAGCGTTTCGAGAAAAACGCTTTTAGAGTTTTCGGAGCAGATTACACTCAGTTAAAAAATTCTTACAAACAAGCTCATATCTCCGAGACTATTTGCCATATCGGCTTCAAGTAATCGAAAAATATTCGCAAATATACACACATATGTAACTACAATATACATATGTACATATATTATATTTAAATTCAATTTTTGGAAATACACAAGTGAATATATCTCCTGAATTCTACAAAACAATATACTCGTAAGCATATAAATATACACATAGAATTAATTTACTAAACTAATGTTATAATTGAATATACATACATACTTACATATGTATGTATATACTAGGTATATAGAAAATTTAATAGTAGAACAGTTCTTATTAATAGAATCAACAGCGCTGCTATCACATCACAAAAAAACACATTACAATAACAACCACCGATGAATAAACGAACTGCTGATAGGAATAAGCATTGCTGGTTCGTTCACCACATTGTCCCACACTCGTGTGCATAAGTATGCACACATACATAAGCAAGAATATTTGCTGTGTGTGAGCAGTTAAGCATTCGGCTACTTTATTTGTGTGCGCCGAAATAGCTCAGTTGGGAGAGCGTTAGACTGAAGATCTAAAGGTCCCCGGTTCAATCCCGGGTTTCGGCAAACCATCTTTTTTTATTAATTTTTAAAAACATGTTTTTTTATCCAACAAATTTTAAAAAAATAATAAATCGTTATAAAACGAATAAATAAAGCTATTTTTTTATGACATATAGTGCTCTATATATAATACTTGCTCATTGAAATTCTTAAAAAAATTTCAGTAATTAGTTAACAAATATTCTTGAAAACAATGGCAGTAGATAGTACGTACCATGCGCTAGTATAAATTAAGGCTTATATCGCTCGAATATAAGGGTTTGCAAATACATATATATTTTCCACTCATATTTAAAGCTGACTTGCTTTAGTAGGGAAAATTATTCTGTGAGATAATCTTGAAGAGACTCACTCTCGAGAGAAAATATGTTTATACCCGTAACAGTGTGTATATAAAAGAACAGCGTTACGAGTTGTGTTTGTCCTTCCGTCCGCTTGTATATACATAAACTAAAATTTTGAGATATTGATGTGCAGTTTTGTGTATGTCATTTTCTCGCAAAGAAGCTGCTCATTTGTCGGAACCGGAGATATCGGTCTACTATAGCATATATATAGCTGGCATACAAACGGAGCGATCAAAATCCAGATAAAGATGTTTTTTATACCTTTTTTATGCTGTAAAAAAATTCAACTTTAGAAGGTATAATAGCTTTGCAGCTAAAGTTACCGGTTTTTCTTGTTTACTCTAATTTTAGACTGCCAGGACAGCTTTGAAATGCTTTAGGAAATTTAAATACTTCTTTCTCCTTTTTGGAGAGTCGGTTCGTCGCAGTAAAGTTTGCTTTACTGAGATGAATCTAAGTAGCCAAATAGATGATAACATATTGTTGGTTGCACTTCTAAAAAATTATTGAAGAATAACCATACTATAGTGGTAGAAGGATACCGTTTTTAACTAGCTTTTCCCTGTTTTTTTTTGGTTCTGCCTACTTGTTCTATGCACTAATTGCTGGGTGGCTGAGAAATTTGTGCCCAGCAATGCTTACAGAAATTTTTGTAAAATACTGGCACAACAATTCAAACAGAAAAACAATGTTTTTTGAATCTAGTATTATGGGTTAGCAACTACAAATATTAAATCATCAAAATTATTGTACTAAGTAAGTTGAGACCTGCTTGAATGCCCCGTATTTGCCAAATCAAGGCTAAAATACCTCGTATCTCATACTTTTAGACATCCTAGTTAAATAGAAATAAAGACCCTAGGCAAATTTGTGTTATGTTAAAGGCGCTTGGTCGAGAGTAGTTGGTTATTACTACATGAATTTTTATCTGCCTTTACAAAGGTTTACACTTAGCTGACAATTCGTCTCGGTTTGGCCGGGACAGTCCGCATTCCAAATTAAGCGTCCCCGCTGTCTCAGGCTTAGAAATTAAAGAAAAAATAATGAATTGAATAAAATTGTGTTGCTCGCTCAGCCTAGAATATATCGCGATTTTCAGCGAATTATAATATGAAAAAAATCGATGACTAAAAAAAACCGTCCCAGATTTTTCCGGGACAAATATGGTCAGATAAGTCTACACATATCAGTCTAAGTGTGATATCCCGTCATCTTGAGCGATCAGCAGCCATCTAATCTAACCTAACACTATTCTTTTCTGTTGTGAGACTTTAGAATATAGCGAAGCTCGAGCTTAGAAGGCTGCAGACGTCTCCTTAAAACTTTTTTATTCAAATCATTCATTCGCTCTATCTATTCAAACTATTGAATACTTTATATACCTTAAATTATCTTGTAAAAAATGCCAAAATTGCATAGATTAGCAATATTCTCTTGCGAAAATATTTTTCATACCAGGAAAAAGCACGGATATGTAACCTTGGACCGCAATTAAGTTTAGACAAAATTTCTTTAAGTAAGGAACATTACATTTATCCACACTTTCGTCCAAACTCAACTAACTAGAATATAGCAGTAAAATTTTCTAAGATTTTATGACTTTGTCAATTGAAGTTTTGCCCAAATAAGTGGACAAAAGTAATTGATAAATAAAATTTCGTTGTTATGGTTACTTTGGGTTACACAAACGGACCCAGATATCAATGAGCCATTCATTAAAGGATTGGTCACACCTCAGTGTTGCACTTTATTCCCTAAAATTTGCAACAAAACGCACACTTTAGCACTTCATTTGCGAGGCACCTTTGCTGTGCCACACTTTGTACGCTTTTAAAATTGCAACTGCACAAAGTATGTTATTGTATGTATTGTTAATGGCGTGCTGAAGACACTTTCCTCAGTTTAATAGCCACATGCATATACACACACGCGGCACAGTCAATGGTTGCTGCGCACGAACGGACAGCGGCAATCGAATTTGGTTCAATAGGACAAGCAGAGCACATGCGAATAAACCTACTTGCCACAAATACACACACACATATACTTGTACATATGTATAAGTAAATGTGGTGTCTTTTCAGCGCAAATACCTGGCGCGCAGAATTGAAAAACAAAAACACAAAAAGATAAGCGCAGGCTCAGCCAGTTAGCGCGCGCAATGCGGCCGGCGCGTCGGTTGCGCCAATTGTCAATATGTTTGTTGATTTGCTATTGTGTGCGCGCTCAATGAATTCGTGAATTGACTGAATAAAATCGCCAGCTCCACTGCCGCGCTCGATTTGAATTCAATACAATTGTGTTGCATGCGCTGGACATGCATGCCACCGCGGCCGCGCTGCTTAGTAGCTGACAGTGAGCGCACAGCCAAACACTCCGCGCATTGTCCCATTTTTTCATGTCCATGCTTTCATGTCATGCTATGCTAGGCTTCGACGGCAGAGGAGTCGCGGTGCAGCAGTTGCGCTCATTCATTTGCTTTCTTTTCGTGTTTCTTTCTTAAGTCTTTTGTTTGGTGGCTATTCGAGTGTGCGCGTGGCTGCGTGTATGCGTGACTGTTGGCATTTCACGAAAATGTGTCAACAACTGCGTTAATAATGCGATTTGCATTTCTAGCATTTCTTCCTCGCCTGCAGATACATGAATGGCATTTGCATGCGTGTTTGTGTGTGTGTCTGTGCTTGTTTAGGGCTGTGTAGGCGTCCAAGCGCTACCCTATTCATGCCACCTATTCTTCAAATTGTATTTTGCTATTTTTCACCGTCCACTGGACACATTGATTGAGTGTTGTCCATTTTTTTCTCTTGCCTTTCCTATTTGCCACCGTTTGTTGCAAGCATTTCATTCATTCATCTTTTGTAAAATTCACAAATAACACATTTCGCTTCGTTTCTATGCCACACTACTTATGCATATGCATTTGCATGGTGGGCGATTCCACATATGCATATGTGTGTGTATGTACCGTTATCAGCTGGTGTTCGTGGTTGTCTATATGCTTATTGCTATTATTATTGGCTGGTCAGTAGTGCATTCATTCGTTCGACTTAGTTTTTCACCTTTGCGCGCTCACACATGCCACTATGGACTTCCTTCTTTGGCAATGTGGCAAATTCGCATTCCATTTTATTGATGCTTACGGGATTAATTTGACAATTGACCAATTCATATGCACAAGCTGCCGGTGGCTAGGTTTTGATGGATTAGTCGTCGATGGGACATATGCTTCTGGAATTGAATATCCAAAAGAGTCTGGAAGATATTTTTCTGCTTGAATAAACTGTACCGCGTGGGGCAGATAAGCACGCCAAGCAATTTATGGCAAGAAAATATTATTTGTGGTGCTTCAATACAAATAATATTTTATGTATTGTAGTATCTCAGATATTATTATCAGCTTCCCATCTGAACACCACTAAATATATGAAAACGTTTGAAACGTCTAATGTCAATTTCGGGTCTCTCTTCTGGTTCGTCGAAGGTAAGATTATCGAGATGTTACAGCCTAAGTCTTGCAAAGGCTGGACAATGGAGAAGAAAGTGCCTGATTGTTTACACCTCTCCCTCCACTATACAACTTTGACAACTAGCGTCCGACGAGATTTTTATTAGACCTATGCTCAGTAAGCAACCCATTGCGGCAAGATGAGCATTATATACTTCTTTAGCAAATCTACAATTGACAATGTTTGTTGTCTACTCACTATATAAGTTGTTATCAGTTATTACTTCGTCAAAGTTAGTTCAGATATTAATGATTATTTAATTTTTGGATAAACTACTTCCTCTCGCCTTTAATTTTTAACTGTTACTTTTTATGGTAGGATAAATATCGATTCTTGAAGTGCTGCGCAATATTTTTAGAGACTCGAGTAAGCCTCAGGATCCCATTATTGTAATTTGCGAAAGATCCTTCAATAAATTTTGATCATTCAACTAATCAATTATATTTTATAGCAGAAATTGGTAATAGATCGCTGTCCTACTATACAACATAAAATTACTACATCTAGCATTCAAATACAATTTATAGTTTGATTCAAGTCTCTAGCTTGATAAGCAAAGGTGAAGGTCGTTCGAGTAGATTTCTCATACGTTCAAAACCCTTAATTGAGACATGAGTTTCAACTTCAGTAATTTTCTAGCAAGACAAAGATTGACTATCCGACTGTGAATCCTTCTCGTGGATCAGCGGTTGAATTTAACCTTACATAACCATAGA